TCGGAATCATATGTCTATTGTAACGCGGTGAGAAAAGAATGTGTCAGTATCCGTTCGAAGTAACTTCTGCCCGAGTGAGTCTTCCCATCGCGTGTCTGTATACTTAAAATCTCCAAGTAGTATTGCTTGTTTGCTGCGGCAGACTTGCTTTACCGCACTGATGAGTGTATCATCCATGTCCTTCCGATGTCCTCGAGGGCAGTGCGCATGTCCGGTTGAATTGGTACTCTCAGTTTATTACTAAGGATTTTACAATTAGGGTTCCTTTTTGGTGAGGGTACATCGGTAACGAAGTTAATACCATTCTGTACGAAAATTGGGATTCCTAAACCCCAACGTCCATTTAGATCGATGCAAATAAATCGAAATTCGTTTAACGTGACTTCTGAGTCTGCTATCTGCTCAGCTAACCATGTTTTTGTTAGGGTTATAAAGTCGGGTTTCAAATGGGCCTCACCCAATTTAATCTCATTCATTTTGACGAATAAATTCTGCACATTAGCTTGTAAGTGAATATCATTTAATCTAGGCTGGTCACGCGTTGTGGGATGATTTTATGTTCGTCAGTAACGCTAGAAGGAGATGTAGTGTGTCAGAAACCGAATAAGACCATTTATTATGCGATTAATAATTCCGCGAAAGTACTTTCTTCATTGAAGTCTGAATTAATTACAAATAGGTGTTTGCCGGTTCTTTAAATTTTATTTGGTAACGCATCAATTGCATTTTCGTCAGATTCATGATCCCGGCCACCGTTTTGGACGTTTTCACGATAATCGAAACCTCGCTTGAAGAAGGCATGCTAAACGGCAGAAATAACTGTGTAACAGTCGATTGACAATGGAGAATGAAAATATGCCTTTGTTATTTTAATTCGGCAGTGGAGACCTGGCGGTTAACGCTAATTAAGCACAGCTTAATCGTTAGTTTCGAAGGCACCCCGGCATTTTTCATATATTGGTGAGGTGTTTACTGGCAGTCTGAGGCCGGAATGACTTGTCAACTCACATACAGACGCTCAAAAGATCTGGCGACCTAATTGTGTTGTAAGGTCGTTCTTTGTCCCACTTTTCAAGTAGTAAGCACTCGTACAATGAAGTCGTGCAAAAGTCCAACACTAACCGACGCTATGCTACATTGAGGAGTTGCTGCCGCTCCTCTAACGCCATCATCACTATCCAGTCCTACAGTTTCACAAACCCTGACAAATATTGATTTTTTCCAAAGTCCTCTCAATTTGAATGGTCAAGATTTGTGCACACTTCCCCACGCAACCCTCGAGAAACTGGTGAAGCCAAATGACCGCCCGAATCTCAACCAGGGTATTGCCGAGCAAAAGTTCGCGAAACAGGTTTTTCGTGATGGCTTCACTAGCCATGCTGGCCAGCGCAGTGCACTTTGGATGTTCCTTCACATGCTTCTTCCTTATTAGTTGGCCACCTATCAGTGCAAAGGAGCACCCGGGAGGTCAAACAAACCGTCTTCTCCTCTTGAGTTGTGTCTGTCTTTCACCGGTAACCCTTGCCACTCAAGCAGCTCTTCTCTTTCGCCCAGCCAGTCGTCGTCTTATAATGGTCAGTACGTGCGCTACCCTTTTCATTTTCTTGCTGGAAATGTCAACTTTTGTTCGACTGAACCTCTTCATCCAGCAATCCGTCGAGATAACAAAGGGCCTGGCAGAGGAGGTGGCCAATACTAAGTCCAACAAGCACCGAAACTGGATGGGAGACAGTGAGACTATCAAGAAGTGTTGCAGAGGCTGGCGGGTTTTCCAGGATTCCAACATGACGGCCCTCTTTCCGCAGCATTGGTTGCCCGCCCAGTGCTGCGAACTGCTTCATGCGAAAACTTTTGATTGCGAAGGAGTCAAACCGCAGCAGACTGCGGAGTTCAAAAGTTATGCTTGTGTGCAAGAGCACATAAAACGCGCAGCAAACTCATTGTGGGTACCGAACATGTTGCTTCTACTATCACTGACCTACGGAATGTTCAGCTGTAGGCTTTTTACGGAAGAGTTGGTGTCCAGCTACAGGAGCAGTCAACTTAAACAATTAACAGAAGTTTTTTGAGCGGTTAAGAAGAAAATGGTGTGTTTCCGAGCGTGCATTACTTTGCAGTTACTTGTCGTCGGTAGTTATGCGTGCATTGACGGTTCGGATTGGGGGGCTTTTTCTTATCCATATGGGTCTTTACGTCCTCTAGGTCTGCTGTGTACCAAGGAGATACTTGTTTTGCTGAGGGCTTGCAATCCTCGGAATCGTCTCAAGGGTCGGCTGACGTGGTCGAGAGATGTTCGCAGAACTGTGAAGTGATATTTGTGTTGATACTATGGTTGTGCACACAACTGACTGCTGGGGACAAACAAATATTGAACAAAACCATGTCAAAAGTAGTGTTACAGGCGTACTTAGCTAGTCTCGGTTAGGTTGACGTTTGAATGCACAGACTGCCTCCACACATCGATCCCAGTTTTTATGTCTCCGAAAACCTGCATGGCTGAGCGGGTTTCACTCTAACCTCTTCGGAAACGGTAGAAATGTTCGCCAAAGACAACCCCTGTAACGCTGAGTAGGTGGTCGTATTGGGCGTTCGCAACTTCGAACTAGAGGGGTGATAGGCGTTGAGAAGGAAAGTAACGTATTTGTTATGACCCGGCCTGGTACTTGAAACCACGTGGAGCGTATGAGCACTCGACTCTTGTCCCAAATACCAAGGCGGCAGAGAAGGAGAACACGACCGACCACGAAAAAGTGTATTAAAAAACGGCAAGTCAAATCTAACTGGAAGTAACGCGTGTTTAGAACATCCTACTGTGGTCAGCCTGCGTTCTGCCCAATGCGCTTCGGGAGGAACATTCTAGACGAGCTGGTCGATAATTCGAATACACGGATCGATCCGGCTCGAGGGGGGCAGCTAATGGAGAGGCGCCACGATTAAGCTGACAGCGCTGTAGAGAAAACGCGCATGGCCTCCAGTGATTGGTTAGATCTTGTTTTTGGGAGTGTATGCACTTCCAAAAGTAGTATGCACCTTAGGTAACCTGCCTCCTACGTGATATGAATACTAAATGCGTTGGCGGTGAGGACCGCTCAGTAGCCTAAATCGTCAGCCCTTGGAATGCACTTCCTCGGGCTCTACCCGATATCGGTGTTGATTGGACTAGTTTGTTCTCATTTGCACCTGGAGGAAATTTACCCGGTCGGATGTCCTTTTCAAGATGGCCTTTTCGGTTATCTCCCTTCAAGAGGAACGACTGGCAGGCAGCCTTTAGGCATTTTGGCCGAGTCCGTTTACTGGCGCTCATCGGGATAGAAGGAACAACCCTTCCAACGATCAGCGTGCAATGACTCACATACCTGTCTCAAGCAGTTGCAACCACATGCCCCCAGTCTTGATTCAGGATCAAGGTGAATGATCCTTTAGGTCTGTCGCCGTGCTGTGGGCTCTTTAAGACGGGCTTATCTTAAGTCCAAAAACAACCATAGGTAAAGTCTTATTCGGAAGAGGGAGGAGGACAGGTAGGCA